GGCTTCACGCAGGAAATAGGCTGCTTTCATGGCGATTCCGGGGCACAGCTCCTAATTCGGAGGATTCGGAAGTGGGCTGGGAGTGGTGGGCACACATTAGAGCCATGAAATTGGCAGGGCTATGAAGAAGGAATTGTTTTAGCAGCTGGAGCCGAGAAGGACAAATAACAGCCGTGATTATATCTTCATTGCTCATCGTAACCAATGCACCAGGCAAGCTGTAATTAGACTGTGAAGAGCTGAAGTTTTGATAGTGAAGGCTTTCCACTTGCAATTAGATGCAGTGCATTGGTATTTGTCCCGCAGCAGCAGCGGCACGCTGCAGCCTAGCCTGCCCCTTTCACATGCAAAGAGCAGAGCTCAGGTCAGGCACCTCGAGGCTGCAGCAAACCCATCCATAACCCAGGTCAGGCCTCGCTGCTTCAGCCGCAGCCCACTCTCCTCTTTCAGAGGCCTGGAAAACTCAGGACACGACGCGCAAACCTTGCGGGCAGGCCTTTGGCTCCATGCATGCACAGCTAAAGAAATTCAGACACAGGCCATTTCCATCCGGCACCCTTTGGCTCCCCCCCACGGCAGGTACGCTTTTGTCTTTCCTCCTCCTCTACGTTTCTTCCAGCTTAACATCTTTCCTTCTGCCTCCCACCCACCCCAGCCTCTCTCCCCCCTCTACTCATGCCCTGCATATATGTCTCCACGGCCTTAGAAAAAACATGACTGCCCAGCACTGAGACAACCTCCAGCCAACGCAAAGCTTCAAAGCCCACCGAGCACTGCAGACTTGGACCAGCTAGAGGATCAGCTCCTTCCCGTTTAGCATGCTTGCAAGGCTTCAGCAGCCTCAGATCTCAGCTCTGCTGGTCAGCCACGCTCACGAGGCTGCTCCCTCGCAGGCAAAGGCAGGTCTTCCTCGAGGTTCACAGACCCACTGCGTGGGGGGGGTCTGCAAAACCTTTGGGAGGGAGCAGCTTGGGATGCATCGCCTTCCCAGTTAGAACTGGCATTGCTCAAAGCTAATAGGGGGGCAGAAAAAGATGTATCCAGATTCACTTGGAGTCATCTTCCACAACCCCTCCTTTGGGAGACAAATCCAGATCTGCTTGGACAAGCCTCTCTTTCTTTCCCATGCCAGCCAGTTTTAGGGAAGAGAATTAAATCATCTAACCTCCCTCTGACAGCCTGCCTTGCTGCAGAGCATCCCCAAGAGACCCCCAGCCCGAGCAGAGAGCAGGCAGAGGTGGAGCCGAGAGCTTCAGAGAGCTTTCCCTCGGCTGTGCCCCCCCCGGACATGCCATCGGGGATTGCTCTGGAAAGCCAGCTTTGAAGATGAAGCCTCCCGTTCCTCCCGATGCCGTCACCACCAAGGTGAGGAGGGAGCAGGGAGAGGAGCGTGCCGCACATCCAAAGGGAAGGCAGCTCTCCTCTGCTGAATTACTCTGATTTAGTTTGAGGCGAGAGCTGAAGGGAAAAGGGAATGAGTTTTGCCTTGAAAAATATTTATTATCCTAAATCAGAGCTAAAACGAGGCCGAAAAACCCAGCTTGCTCTGCATCACCGTTAGCACCAGCAGCTTCAGAGTATCCAGCCATCACGGAAAACAGGGTGAAAACAGCCCATCTCCAGGCCTGCACTGATGCATCAGAAAAAGAACAGGAGATAAATCACAACAAAAAACTCCCCTTGCAAACAAAACAGAGGGCTAATTCCCCCCATAGCAGCGGTTTAATAGACAACTGCATGCCAACGTGCGTGCTTCTCCATGCGGCAGAGAGACCTCGTGGCAGAGCCCCGGGAGGCGACCGCGCCGCCCTGGAAACTTGGCAGGAGAATTCAAATGAAATTTAAAAACTCTTTTGACATTTAAGAAAAAAAAAAAAATCAACAAGCATCTCAAGTGATGAGGGGACCAGGCATATAACTGGCTGAATGTCACATTTAAAGCTCAGCAGATAGCAGCTGCTTTATCTCCCAAAGCAGGTGGTTTGAGTGGTAAATAAGGCACAGAGGGCCAGATCCTCATCTCGCACCTGCATCGCTTCAAGGGACACGCTCTGGATTTGCACCAACACAGCAGACAGCCATAAGGGGACTGGAAAGTCTATTAAACTTTAATACTTGTGAGCATCAACAAAAAATACGCTACCAGCACCCTGCCTTGACCCTAAATATCTATACAGGCCACAGCCACACCAGTAAGAAGTTATTGACTTAAATTGGCAGTGCCCTTTCTGAATCAGTTGTAGTTCTGATGTACAGATACAAGCAAAGGACATTTGAAGCATTTTAATGCACTTTTTACTGCATTATCTCTCACCATGATCTTAGCGGCTTCATGAAAATGACTCACATAGCAAGCAGCAGAACCCAAAGTAATTAACGACCTGGCAACTCTATAATGATCCTTTCTACATAAAAAGGTCTTCCCCATCCTATGAATAGACTTGAAGTAATTTATTGCAATCCATATAAAGTTGAGACTGCTTTGACCTTGGGGATTTGCTTTAAGTTTTTTTTTTTTTAAGCAGCCGTAATTGCTAAAAAAGATTTTAAGTGATGCCAGTTTAAAGAAAATTCTTTAAATTAACAGAGGCAGTGCCGCGCAGGCTGTCCTGCAGCCCTACCGCCCGCACCGCGCGAGGCACCGCGGCCCGAGGATTAGTCCCGCAAGGAGCACCAGCCTGACAAGCCAGCCCCGTACCCAACGCGCGAGAGCTCTTTGCAAAGCAGATCGTTTATTCGGGCAAACGAAAACGCCACGGGAACCGACCGCGCCGTCCACACCACCCGTCCCTGCAGGTAAGGTGATCCGCATCCCACCCTGGCTTGTGTAGACCCGACCCAGGTCCGCCGCTGCTTTTGCACGCAGCTGGCCACTGCACCCTGCTCCAAAAGCACAAGGGAGGCTGCTGGTGGACTGTCTGTTCAGTGTGCTAGTTCACATCGACATGTACCATTTCCTTTAAAAGCCTTTAACTCTTTCAATTTTGATACCACCCTGCCCGCCTGTACGTGTTGCCCGCTTGCCTCCTTTCCCCCCCTTAATTCTCATTTCATCCGGCTCCTACTTTAGCATTTCCCAGTCCCCTGCATTTTCACAGGGAAACTATCATAGGAACGTGATTCAACCAAAAGTTGAGTTCACACTCTCAGCGCTCTTCACAAGGGCTTTGAAAGAGGCAGGAGACACCTGGAATGGGGTCACATCACATGCTGGATTAGCTGCCACAGGACATCTAACATGATGGACTAGAGTGACTTCCAGACTTTGAAGTACCCAAAGCTGTTTTGATGCCTTTCCCAGAGCTTTGGGGCTGTCTCAGTCTTACCTTGTCTCAGACGGCAAGGTAACACGTTGAGTGAAGGAATAAATCTGTGCAGATCTGTCTGGAAAAGGCTTGGATGGAACCATTTTCCATCAGAGAAATTAAATTTGTCAGAATTCAAACACACTGCAGAGTCAGGTCTTTCTCTGCAGAAATTTCATTTCACAGAAGAGGGAAAAATAACATCCAACAACTTGGAATCATCCCACCCTGACAATTCTCAAAATTCAGTATTTGCATTCTTTGTTTTGAAATAACTAACTTCAGACTTGTTGTTTTCCTCAACTGTTTTCTTTTATGCTTCATCAAGTAAAACATAAGCAAACTTAATGCAAAAGCAAGACATGTTTCCATCCGCAATGTTTTTCCCTAACAGAGCTTTGAAACTTGCTTCCCCCCCCCCCATCAATGAGAGTGAAGAGAGATGCAGAAGAGTCAAAATCGTCTGCGAAAGCTCCCATTCGCCTCCTTGCACTCGTGTCTTAACTTAAGCATTGCTGCCCTATAAATCAGAGCTGGGACTACAATTTGGGAGTTCCTGCCCCTGTCCTGCCTGATTAATTTCGCAGTGGATATAGTGCTTGAGGCAGCAAGCACAGCGCTAGGTCCGGGGGCAGGCCTATTGGCTGCATTTCAAAATATCACCATTTCTTTGTATTCGTTACTCCTAGGAACCTATGTAATGAAGCAGGACTCCCATCACATTAGGTGCTGTCCCAGCACCTTCGATGGAAGGCTCACCCTTTAAAAAAGGTCATCAAAACTCACTGGTGTGGGGGGGGGGGGGGGGGGGGGGGAATAACCCGCAACCCCAAGAACTTCCAAATTCACGCCCTGCATCAGGATAGACTCACCTTTTCCACTAAGTGAAAACACGTGAAATAGGAAGGATCAAAATGACACCAAAGTACAGTTTTCTTCATCTCTGCTAGGCTAAGTTTTATCGTTTTAAGTACAGAGGATTAATATGCTACTAGATTTAAGTTTTAATTAAACTTGAGAGTTATATTTAGTAGAAACAAAGAAACAAGCAGCCAATACCTAGTGTTCTGCTCTCAAGTCACTTAAAATTCTGGAGAAAGTTATCAGACTCAGCATGAGCTAAAGAGCATCTTCCAGAAGAAAGCTATTCCTTCAAAAATGAAACATCTCGAGCATCCTGCTTCCTACTGACTATCAGATCACATCACTTACAATCACTACCATAGCTCACATTAAAAAATTAAGTCCATGACTGCAGTGAAACGTCTACCCATTTCTTTTATAGCTTCTTGCCACAACTAGCTATATATCTCCATTATCACAGCGCTATCACCAACACACAATAGATCTAAGCTTGCATCGTAAATAACACTTTCATATAACAAAGTTATGCTTAGAAGTACAGGCATAAATTAACACTCAGCCATGTAACTCTAAATAGTATTTTAGGCCTTGTCAGAAAGCAATTATGCAAAATATTATTCTTGTAAAGATCTGCTCATGATACTTCAAAGCGTTGCCGCATTTCAACAACCGTGGACAAAGCACGGTGCTGGGAATCAGAAGCCGAGGGTTTAGCCAGGAGATGCTCGGATGATTAAACCCTCTGAAGCCATCTAATTACTGACATCATTGCTGGGAAGCATGTGTGCACCTTCAAAAGGAGTATTATAATTTGTCATCTGTATTCCAGGGATGCCGAGGCCTCCAGCCAGCCCAGACCCTGTCACCCTCGGCGGCGTACGCCCTGGAATCGAAATCAACAGGAGCAACTACCGAGAGCCAGGTTTGCAGGGCTTAATAAAAGGTGTTCCCAAAGCGTGCCCGGCCTCTATCTTTACACCATTTTGGCCGCAACCCAGAAGAACACAAGATAGCCGTCTTTCAGCCAGGAACCGCGGCTCTCAAAGATTAAACATCTCTTTCAAGGTCACCGACAACCCTGTGGAAGCTGTGGGAGAAGTCAGAAGCATCCATTAGCTTTCCCTCTCAGGGTGGATACCTGAAAGTGGAATCAGTCAGAAGTCACTAGCTGGCTGTAAAAATCTTGTCTGCTTTCAGCTCAAGTGAGAGATGAGCACGAAAAACCAAGAGAAGTTTCTTGTGGTTTCTGGTCATTGTTTAGCAGCTCGTACTGTTATTGTCCTGGAGACCCAGGCCCTAAGAAACCAGCAGGCGCTTTTTCAAATTTGTTTTGAAATGCTTCTACCTCATCCACTAACCATTTAGATTTTAAGATCAATCCTTAAGTATCCCTCCCTGAAGGCCCTTTGCTTTGCAAAACCAACGTCACCTATTTTATAGTCTGGATGGGTAGATCTAGTCTCTCCGCAGCATTTTCCCTTCTGCGTAACAGCAGGCGGCGGAGGTTATCCGGGGCCCAGGGTGGGACATGTCCCCACCACGTTCGCCCAGATCAGCCCCAGAACCGCCCTGCCGGGGCAAGGCTCCTGCCAGCGTGCGGACCGAGGTCGCTTCCCCACGGCCACGTCGCCTCCCGGCAGCGCTCCGGCTTCCCTCGGCTTGCAGGAGTTTGCTGCAAATCTGATAGCAGATGTGATTTCCAGCTGGGTCTATATACCAACCACAGCAGGTTCATTAATAACAATTATTAAGTGCTTTATGTTACAAATTAGGCCTGTAGGAATACAAAAGAATATCCAGCCGGTTGGTTTACGGTCTCTTGTCAGAGAGGACTGTAAATTCCCATTACCACACCGCCATCACCATGGCAAAACAAGGATAGGAACCCATCGTAAATAACGCTTTAAAACAACTAAATCATCACTAGATGCAAGAATGTAAATTAGGGCTCACATGCAATGTCAAAGGCCTCAGCTAACATCTTTGATGCATCTGCCAGCAACACCCAGATGTCCGGAAGTTGCACTGGCACCAAGGGACGGGGTGAAAGACCAAAGATGGAGAGAAGGCAGCTTTCTGTCCACAAAATGGGAGGGGAATCAAACTTCTCCACTCTCAGCCAACAGCCCTCTGCTTTGCTGCACAGAGAACGGGCAAACACTTCTCCCAGGGATGCTCATTCCTCCAAGCACAGCGAAGGCTGAGGGGACACAAGCAAAATGGACCTCTGCCCACAAGCAGCGATGTTGAGGACATCGTCTATCTCAGGCACTTGCGCCCAGTCACTTCTACCCCGGGCTGGATGCAAGCCAGTGAAAGGAGAGGGAGCTCATTCATCCCATTCCTGGGCCCTTGAGGCATCTAGTTCCCCCCACTATGAAAATTTTAATAAAACTGGTGCATCAACTTTCAATTAGATGGCCGTAAAACGGTTCACTTTCATCTGTTTGTTGCACGGTAACACAGATCCTCAGGAGGAAACGGCGCCTTTTTCAGACCGTCTGCAGCGCAGAGAACATTAATTGAATATTCTGTTGAAACCACCTTCAATTAGTGCCTTGGATTTTTGCATGACATTCATCACTGCAACTTGCCCAATTCTGCATGCGGCACATTTGGGGTTTCGTGATGCGCACATCACATTAACTTCATGGCGTTATCCTGAAAATAACAAATTTATTTGCTAATGAGATGCTAGCCAGGGCAGAGTAACCTACTGCTGCAGCAAAAGGCAACAGCGTCCCAGGCTGGACAGCACCAAGTTGAAGGGGAGAGGGAGTTTCTGCCTCCAGCTCCGCAGGAGAGGGGACAGGAACAGCTCGCCCTGACAGCTTAATTGCTCTGGAAAGCAAACCCCCTGCAACCACCACATACGCCCAGGGCGGCTAATAAACCCCTCGTGCTAACCCAAACCATGCCACGACAGTGGTTTGCCCTTTCAGCTTCTCTATACAGCGAAGGCAAGGCCAGTCTTGCAGCTGGTTTTACAGCAGGAGCTGCTGCCTCCCAGAAGTTACATCAACAGCACCCTTCAGCATGGTTCCCGCAGTCTGGGCACCACGACTAAGCGTCTCAGATGTTAGTCAAGCCATAACTGGGACCGGTTTGTCCTGTTAGGTGGCTCCTGCAGCACCATCAAGTCCTTTTGCTTTTCTGACCGTATTTTAAGAAAAGGTTAAGCTAACTGCTGGCTGGGAGACAGATGGAAGGGGAAAAATAAAAATCACGTTTATTACTTCTGCTGTCCACAGGCCTCACCCAAGCAGAGGAGCCGAAGCCATCCATCTCACACCTGACCTTCCCCAAGGGCTGGAGGAGCTTTGCTGCAGATGCTGCCCAAGAGCTGCTAGTTCACAAGGCAAACGAGGCCCAGCAGCAACGCCCCAGGCTCTGCCGAGCCAGGGTGCACCGAGAGCCATCAGGACCCCTCTCTCCACCTCACAGGCCATCACTTGGCATGGAGCAGAGACACTGGAAGACGTTCTGGTGAAAAGGTGCTTTCATCTTTTGCCAAAAAAGCGTGTTTCGTATCTTATATGCATCTATGCTGACTGGGGGGATCTTTTTCTGCTGCGTCCTGATGTGCGGTGACCTCCTTCCCACTCATTTCAGCAACTAGCAGAATCTTTCCAAAAACGGATGTAAGAAGGTAGAAGAAGCCACCGAGTTTGTCAGGCACCAGAAGCTCGTAACCAAATACCCTACAGCATCACAGGTCAAAACCAGGCATGATCAAGGAGACTTAACAGACCCACGGATGGGAACTTGGAGATGCTACACGTGGCTGCGCATCCCATATACCACAGGAATTTTTCAATTGGTCTAAATCATTACCTAGTATCAGAGTAGCTGCACAGCTTAGAAAGATGAGCTGTGCAAGCATGATCCATCACACCACTGTGCCTCAGCTTCCCCAACTGTAAGAAAGCCAAAGTATTAAATAAAAGGTACTTAGACTTCGTGGAGCACGCTGTCATCTCCTGAGGTAACACGCTATTAGCAAGGTGATATTAATAAGCAGATCTTACATCCGAAATTTTACATGCAACACTGCATGACAATAAATACCGTGTCAAGTGCACAGCGAGAGGTTTTTTTGCAATGATGACAGGAGCTTTTTTTTTTTTTTAAACTGACAGCTCCATTATTCATTTCAGCTGACAGATCATCAGAAGGGTGTGGGAGAGAAGGGGAGCAAAAACAGGGTCCATAAGCATGCATCTAACTTCCACACAGCTACGTGCAAAGCTATTGTGACATTTAAGACTCAGCACGGGATAAATTTCATTTATTGCACATAAACCATGAAAGTTTGGATTTACACAAGAGCCTGGAGTCAGGCTTATTTTGCTTCTACTGAAGGCACAGAAACAGCACATCTACTTCAAGAGAAGCACAAACACAGCAGCAACTTGAGCACTTCTGAGAAATCCCACACAACAGCCAGCATTTTTAAATTGTTTCTTAACTTTCTGTCTGCAGATCTGCAGAGCACTCTAATATAATCAAGGTCCTCCGCGCACAGGGGATTAGCAGGCTTATATCCCGTGGATCCAATCAGGAAAGTCTATCAGCAAAACATACTTATGTTGATACAGCTATTATAATCTGCATAATTCTTCTGAGTTCACATACTTAATGGATAGCAAACAGAGTCATTACAGCTGCAACTTACATCCATAGGATCTCTATGAGCCATTCACTGCAGTGTTTTTTATTATTCATAGCTTTAGTTATTGATTTTCAGGAGAAGATACATGCTTTTAAGTACCATAAAAGCAGGAGAGGAAAACAAATAGCACTATTCCAAGATTAATACACTGCTCATAAGAAAAGGATGGCTGTCACATTGCACAGGATACAGCTGATGGAGCCTTGACACGTTCCATGCAAAATGGCTGGGTTGCTTAAGCAGCCTGTTAAATAATTTAAAGGCAAGTTTTTACTGGAGGCAGGAAAGTTCTTCCCCAAATTCACTTTTTTAGATTTCTGTGCTACAAGAATGTTAATCAATCAGACCGCAGAATTCAGCTGGGATGTTCCTCTCAGCGCAGCACAGCCGGGGTGGGGTGGGGGGGTTTTGGTGGGGGTGTTCAGAGAAAGCACCGCTCCCGGGTTAGATGAGCATCGGCTGTCCCCGGTAGCACAGGAGGAGCATGCTGCAGAAGGAGCCCATGCCCATTCGCACAGACCAGGCTGAGGGACAGCACTGCATCCACCTGCCTCCTACTCCATCCATCAGATTTTCAAGATCTGTGGCTCAAAAAAGCAGCTGCTGGCAGGCCCACAAGGAAAGCCCAGCTTAGACCAGCCTGGCTTCTCAGCATCTCAAAGCACTTTATTGAAGAGCTCTTCTGGCTTCCCCTCTTGCCCTGATGCATCTCCCCAGGGAATGCACGTATGACAACAAGCCATCCCAGAAGATGGGAGGAGAGACGCACAAGGACATCTTTGACCTGTGCCGTCCATCCAGGACCGGTACTGGAAAGCGCTAGCCAATATTGAGCATCACAGCACAACACATCTTCTATAACCACCAGCCTTGCACTCCTCTGGCAGGCAGAGAGCTGCACTGCTGAATAAACCGGGTGGAGCAGAGCTATCATCCCCAGCAGAAAGAAAACCGCCCAGCCTCAGGATACGCGTGCCAGGAATTGCTTCCCGGGCCCAAGAGCCCTTTCAAATCAACATCACAGGACAGCGAGCGCAAAGCCGAACTCGAAGCCAACAGAGCATTCACTGAAAAGCAGCAACGTACTTGTTTGTTCATTTGAAGGCTCACATACGAGACACCAGAACAAAGGACTGTCCAAATTACAACATTACTATAGCAACAAAGGGTCCCACCATGGTCTTTTTGTTCCAGACACTGTACAGACTGTCTCCATGTTAATGACTCTGCTGCCTAAGGAGGCAGGGAAGAAGCAGCAGAAAAACAACTTGCAAGATGCAACATTGGGGGCTAGGTCTTCTCCAATACCTATGCACTGACAGATGCAGGCAGGGGAAGAAATAAGCACTCCACGGCAGCTTGCAAAACACCAGCACACAGAGTGGGCAGCTAAAGGACATTATAGGTCCTTTAGTTAAGGAGCTTATAGGTGCTTTAGGAGCAGGGGGTGTGCCAGGGATGCTTGGAAGCTCACCTCAGAGCTTTAGCCAGGAGAGCCATCCCAACCGCTTCACACTGCCCTCTTCCAAGTCTGAAGAAGAAGGGTTAGGTGTCAAGGAGCTATTCTACTTTACTGTACTGCCTGCTTCCTGCTTTAATTAACAAGTCCATCTATCTGCACTTATTCCTGTAGATCCTATTGCTAAAGCGCTGCTACGCTGCATCTTAAGACACTCATCCCGCAAGGATCACAGCAATATAGGGAACAGCCCCATTTCACAAATGATCAAGGATGGGATTTATCTGACCCACTGACCACGTCCAATCAATTGCTCCTGCCTTTTGAGGGGGGACGGAGAGTGGAAATCAGTCCCAGGACGAAGATCCTTGCTCTGACAGTGCCTTGCTACAGCGTCACCTCATTTGAGTCTGAATTGCAAGAAGAGGAATTATACCTTAAGTTATTTGTCTCATAGGAAATCAGTGTCAAAGCAGGGAATTGCACATATTTTTTTCCCCCCCCTCATCCCAGCCAGCAACAGAGCTGCTCGGCTATCCGTCCTCCGTAACGGCAGAACGGCGGCTTCAAAGCCGCTGCTGGAGACGAAGGAGTGACATATACTGAGTTTTACTGCCCCGGGAGGAACTCTAGAAGACAGCTTACTCGAGCCAGTTAATTTTTTCTGCATCATTTACATCCACCCACATTAAAACTTCCAGGCAGCTGTGACTTTCACGAAGCATCTTCCAGAACCTTACCAGAGGTACCGCACCTCCCCAGAGCAGCCCGTTCAACAAAGCGCTATTAAAAGAAGAGGGGCGTAAATATTGAAGCAGACCCAGAAATTCCCCTGACCCAGTCGGAGCGCCTGATCCGACTCGCGACGCAGCAAGCCCAGGGACGCGGCGGGCTGCTTTTTATCTCTTGCCAAGTCAGTGCGTCTTAGCCCAGATTCTCGCTCGCTGCTCTTCGCTCTCCCTACAATGTTAAGTCAAGGAGCTTCTGCTTTTCCCGCCCCCCGTTTGTAGCCCAAGTCACTCGGCTCCTGCCTTTCTCGTTCCCACCCGTAACTGCAGGGTGGAAGAGTTACTGCTGCTCCCACCCCACTATAAAAAGGCAGGTCACCATATGCGGGGACGGGGCTGTTTGTCACTGGGGGCGTCAAGATTTAAATGCATTTCCAGCTCTCCTAGCATTTGCTGCAACAACCCGCCATCCTTCAGCTCCGGTATCTTAAAAAGAAGCAGCAGCGGCTGCGCTGCCCAGCCGGTGAAAAAGCCTGCGGAAACCCCTCTCCTCCGTAAGCTGCCGTCAAGTGGGGAGGGGGAAAAAAACAGGTCCAGAGGGCTGGAGGCTGAGGCAGTCAATCTCGCCTCTCCGGTGAGACGCTAATCCGGCGCCCGCGCGTGCCGGCGGAGCCTCTCCAACGGGATGGATAGCGCTGGCACCGCGACTCCCTCGGCCTCGCTATCCGTTATCGCTGCTCTAATTACGGCGCTATCTCCGTACGCACGTTGTCTCCGACCCTGCAGGCGCTGCCGCTCATCCCTCAGCGCCCGACAGCTCCACGCGTCCAGGCCTCGACGCCTCCCAGCTTTCCTCCCCGCACCCAGGCTTTGCCGGACCCTAACAGCCACGGGGGTTCAATCCCTCCGCAGGGCGAGCCGTGCCCAGGAGCTAAGGGTAGCGAGAGGAGTACTCCCGCCCCAGGAGGCAGCAACGCGGATGGGAGGCAGCTGCATCGGCATCACTAGCGCGCAGCGGGAAAATTCCCGCCCAGTTCCCGTCCCAGCTCAGCGCTTTGCAGAGAGTACAGGATGCTTCCCATGGGGGACGGGAGGAAGAAGAGGAATAAAAGCTCCTTGATTTCACCATGGATAACACAATCTCTCCACCCTACCAGGAAGGACACCCCTACAAGAGAGGGAGCAATCCCCACTGCTGCAGGAAGGGGAAACTGAGGCACAGGGTTTCAAAACCCAACTCCAGTGCGGGGCTGCCCCAGCCTCACTGGGGCTCTTGAGAGGAGGGGGGGTCAGGAAAAAAAACG